TATGTATATGTATATGTATATGTATATGTATATATATCAATAATAATAATATATATATATATATATATATATATATATCAATATATATCAATATATGTCGGTCGTACACAAATACATATTTCCACTGGCGAAATACATATTCGAAATGAATTTTGCAATTCGCCATTAATAGCTTGGCGTCGTGTTTGTAAGCTACTTTGAATTAGTACACACTTGTTCTTAAACTTTTAAATCGTTAGCGGTTCAGTCCCGCTCGTTCTGGTTTACCTGTCACACACAACCCTGTACGGGGTTAACCTGTTGCCATGGTAACAAACTATCAGTAGCGAACTGTCCTATACTTTTCACCCAGAATACAGTGATGAGTATAAATAGTACCAGTCGCGTGCATACGGCGTAGTGCTGGGCAGACCTGCATCGTATGTAGTGAATGTATGCGATGCTCACGAGATCGTATGCGTTTCACCCAACGTACTCTAATTGGTTGGTCTGTGATGTAAACGGTCCGACTGAGCAATCCGATGCAACGTTTTAGGTGTTTATGCACAGTGTGTCTTGTCACGTGTGTACACATGTATGAAGTGTTGAATGTCTATCATCGTACATCAATCTTTGGAGAGGTCTTCCACTCAGAGACTCCCCGGGGGGTCTATGGCTCTGTTTCTAACAGATGTGTATACATGCGGACAGTATCAGAGTATCGATAACATTACTATACGCAGGTCAAATGTCTTTTGGATATCTGTTCTGTCTCCGTACACTCATTCGTAAACAAGCACATACTTGTACCCGGATGTGTACTTCACCTGTGTAGCTAGCCATACAGCCACGGCCATGTGTATACGCTCAATAGTAGAGGATATGTATAGGCTTGGCAACTCAATCGTCGTGTAACTAATTGTTTGCGACGTGGTTAGACTCTAGATCTACACACCAACGACTCACACAACCACACGTGTCCACTAGGACTGTTCAGACCTATCGTCGCAGAGCAGTATGTTTTGTATTATAGCTTGTTCAATCGAAGGCTTACATATATATATGTATGTGTATATATATATATATATCAGTATATCCATATATCACCTCATAACGTACATGCGCTATAGCTGACATGAATACAATCTTGCACTACAGGAGCAACCACCTGGAGTGATTATAGTATCTGAAGGTCCAGCCCGGAATGTACGCCAGCGGCATAATGTGCGAACCAATGCCGCAGCAGGTGCGGTGTGAGCTGTGATAAAAAATCAATATTCGGTTCAACACGTGTTTGTGGCTATTTATAGCAGTGCTCCCCAGTGTTCAGTGGTTTAGGCGATGTTAGTGCAACACGTATGTGCGTAAGTGAGTGGTGTAGTCAGTTGCCTAGCCCAGTTATGTTGTCACACGATCTAAGTACTTGGTCATGGTAAATTCACTTGGTCATAGTAAAGCGTTCTGTGTGCGTATTGAATGTACGTAGGCACGCGCACGGCCACAGCGGAATACCGTACACACACACACACAATCTTACACACATACACGCAAACTTACACACACACACACATACTTAGCACACACAAACACAAACTTACACACACACACACAAACTTACACACACACACACAAACTTGATAACAAGCTTAATTAGATAAGAATAGGACACTCCGAGAGAACCAGGTTGCAAGTATTGAAACGATAAGTACAGAGGTCCACTTATATAAAGGAAGTTGCCCTAACACTGGTGTAAGATTTAACGAGGATCCTACAAAATCGTACACACACACACACAATTAGAAAAATCAGTACAGTGGTCCACTCATATAGTGGAAGTTGCCCTAACACTAGTGTACGGTTCAACGAGGATCCTACAATAACGTACACACACACACACAATTAAAAAGGTCAGTACAGTGGTCCACTTATATAGTGGAAGTTGTCCTAACACAAGTGTACGGTTCAACGAGGATCCTACAATATCGTACACACACACACACAATTAGAAAGATCAGTACGGTGGTCCACTTATATAATAGAAGTTGTCCTATCACTAGTGTTCGGTTCAACGAGGATCCTGCAATATCGTACACACACACACAGTTAGAAAGATCAGTACAGTGGTCCACTTATATAGTGGAAGTTGTCCTAACACAAGTGTACGGTTCAACGAGGATCCTACAATATCGTACACACACACACCTAATTAAAAAGATCAGTACAGTGGTCCACTTATATAATGGAAGTTGTCCTATCACTAGTGTACGGTTCAACGAGGATCCTACAATATCGTACACACACACCCACAATTAGAAAGATCAGTACAGTGATCCACTTGTATAAAAAGGAAGTTGTCCTAACACTAGTGTACGGTTCAACGAGGATCCTACAATATCGTACACACACTCACACAATTAGAAAGATCAGTACAGTGATCCACTTGTATAAAAGGAAGTTGTCCTAACACTAGTGTAAGGTTTAATGAGGATCCTACGCTGGCTTATTCCCTATGAATCTATGGTCGCCCACACCCAAGACTACTTCGAACAGCAACCAATTATGTGCTTATAGATATGAAACGTTCACACTGTATTTACTGCAAGACCCGTATCGGAATAGACGTGAAACGTAAACGTATATGTCAGCAAAACGCCTGGTGTGTGAAGTAAACTTCCATGTCACTGATAATTATGGTACGCTTACACCTCCAAAAACACCAAACCGTAAACGTCCATATCACTGATGATAATGGTACGTTTACACGTACAAGAACACCAAAACGTAAACTTCCATATCACTGATATTAATGGTACGTTTACACGTACAAGAACACCAAACCACGTACATGTACCACACGTGTGTGCCGCTAGTCCTTGGTATATACGTACGTACAAGCTCACATCGAACGGCATTCGTTTATGTTTCTGTCGATCACTAGTATACATATATCACATACTTTTAGTGACATGTTTCTGCCACTATTATATATAAATATCAAACACTATTACACATTTGACACTATTTAGATCTATTCATGTCACTGTTAATATATATATATCACACACTTATAGACACATTTAAACTTATTTAGACCTATTCATGTCCCTGTTAATATATATATATATCACACACTTATAGACACATTTAAACTTATTTAGACCTATTCATGTCACTGTTAATATATATATATATATATATATCACACACTTTTAGACGCATTTAAACCTATTTAGACCTATAAGTCACTGTTGATATATATCACACACTTATAGACACATTTAAACCTATTTAGACCTATATGTCTGTTAATATATCTATCACACACTTCTAGACATATTTGAACCTATTTAGACCTATATGTCACTGTTAATAGACACAATTAAACCTATTTAGACCAATATGTCACTGTTAATATTTATATATATCACACTTATAGACACATATAAACCTTGTTAGACCTATATGTCACTGTTAATATATATATATATATATCACACACTTTTAGAACATTGCTGCTTTCACTAAGTGACCTGATTCGCACATGTACAGACAAGACAGCGCAGATTGTACAGTCCGTTCAAACGGCATCGGATAAGGCGTTCACAACCATAGAGCGGATGTTTGGGCGGGTGGGGTGGCTGAAGTCGCCAACGGATATGCTCAATGAGTCCCCACGGAGTGTGTACAGTGTGTTACGTTGGGTGGTTTACTGTAGGTGTTGAGTTTGTATGAAAGTATGTGGTATTGCGTGTTCTGTGGTAGTATGTGGTGTTAGTTGGGTATATGTGTGGTTGGTTACGATAGGTGTTGAGTGTTGTATGATAGTATGTGCTGTTTGTGTGTGATATTGAGTGTTGTATGATAGTATGTGCAGTTTGTGTGTGGGGTTGAGTGTTGTATGATAGTATTTGGTGTTTTGTGTGTGATGTTGCGTGTTGTGTGATAGTTTGTGATGTTTGAGTGTGGTATTGAGTGTTGTATGATAATATGTGTACTATATCAGTGTGTGGTGTAGTTGTTTGTCAGCCTCCATGCGTCCCATCTATGTTCATGCAGTGTGTGTTGTTTGTTGTCCAAGTGATTTAGGGTTTAGGGTTTTGCTACGAAGGCACTCAGGGACTTCTGGTGAAGTGAATGCACTGATTAAGTGATTGTTCAGCGTCTGTGTTGTTAGTTTTTCAGGGTTTTGGGTTTGGTTTTGAGGTTTAGGGTTTGGGTTTTGACGTTCCCCCCTCTATGGATAGGCTCAATGAGTTCAATTATATAGAGATTTGCGCGCACACACACCCATATACACATGTCCAATTACACACACGCACACACATGCATGTACAAGTATACTTACACACATACTTATGTACAACCACACAGACATACACGCATGCACAAACATGCATGTGCAAAGTATGGCTCAGATACGCAGAAGTACATACACATACACATACACATACACACGCACACACGTGCATACACATACACACACAGCCTCGATACTTGTACTAATATACGCTACACATCCATTGCACGCACTCCTGGGCCCTTCTCCCCTCTCTACCTATCGATTGACTCGATCGGATATGAACACATACACTTACACACACACAAGTACCTACACACAACTACACACACAAGTACACAAACAACCTTAATACTCGTACTATCATACACACACATCCATCTCACCCACTCGTAGACCCTTCTCCCCTGTCTGCCTATCGATTGACTCGATCGGATATGAATGGGCTTGAGATTTCGGCGGGTGTTGATTTGGGCAACCGATTCCGCAGCCGATGGAACGACATTCAGTCGCAGAATATTCGCAATGTATTGGCGGGCGAACGTATGCGCAAACGGACGGGAGAGATCGCGGCAATATATCGCAGCAGAGAAATGAGGATAGCCGCAATGGCTAAGGTGTGTGATAGGGTGGTGAATGGTTAAAGTGTGTGATATTTTAAGAAATGGTTAAAGTGTGTGATATTCTAATAAAAGGTGATGGTGTGCGATGTGGTGATGAATGGTTGAAGTGTGTGATATTCTAATAAATGGTTAGATAAAGTGTGTGATATTCTAATAAATGGTTAGTTAAAGTGTGTGATATTCTAATAAATGGTTAATTAAAGTGTGTGATATTCTAGTAAATGGTTATGGTGTGTGATGTGGTGGTGAATGGTTAAAGTGTGTGATATATTAATAAATGGTTATAGTGTGTGATATTCTACTGAATGGTTGAGATGTGTTAGGTCGGTTGTTGAAGAACGTTCTGTAGCTAAAGTCTTTTAGACGTCTTTATCCGTCTGCGATAGTATCGTAGCAAAGCGACTTCTGTGAGTTTATTATGACAGCCACATAGCAGTCCTGCTTATGAGCTACCCTTTGCCATCCTTTTTGCGCATTTTCATTGGGCAGTGGTTAAAAGTTTAGTCTCCCCCACACATGTGATGTCACCGCTTAGTATAGATACGGCTCATAGTCATGCACAATTTACCTGCAGCCGTATCTGTTACCTAGACTATAGCTGTGTGAGATATACCATATACTTGCGCGTACTCTTCTGTTACACCACTCGTTTTAGTCATCCGCATAGTGCATGTACTTGTGTCTACTCTTCAGGTACACCACATTGTAGTCGTCAGCACAGTTCACCGGTGCGCCAGTATCATGCTTGTAATCTCTAGTGTTGGAATGAGTTCTTAAACTCTGTTGAAGCGTTTCAGAATGTGTGTAAAACACATCTGTCCATCATCCTACATGCGTATGACATGTGTCCTACACGCATCTCCATCCTACAGGCATTTCCATCCTACATGCGTATGACATGTGCCCTACATACATCTCCATCCTACATGCGTATGACATGTGCCCTACATGCATCTCCATCCTACATGCGTATGACATGTGCCCTACATGCATCTCCATCCTACATGCGTATGAATGGACATATATATTGTTCCTCCTGTGTGTCCATCCACACGTGCGCGTGTGTAACGTAGTGCACAAATGTGTAGGTGCCTTGGTTGCGGTATTGTCACAGCCACGGATGCCCGTTGGTGTGCGTATGTTGATGATGGTTGTATATTACAGATACCGGAGCGATTCTTGTGTATGCATCTGTGTGTCTGTGTCTATGTCTGTTTCTGTGTCTGTGTCTGTGTCTATATATGTATTAGTATATATATATATATATATATATATCCGTATTATGCGTACCGATAGAACTGTACCAAGGCGCCATACCCGTACATTTCATGAAGTATGCTATGTGAGCTCCCTTATGTGCTGATTGAAAGGTGGCTGTCATAAATACGTGTGTGATATAGATATAATTACGATGTGCGTGTACGGACAAACCGATGTGTGTATGCATTTGCAAACAAACTCTTCATACAATAAACATCTGTACACATGATAACCCTCACCACATAACCCTAAACAACAACCCTAAATCCCTAAATCCTAAACTTAAATCCTAAACCCCACACAACAGATGGCCACGGCCACAGACAGCTGTGGGACCCTCATCACAGTCATCAGCGCAGGCGTTGTGAGGCTGGCGGATACGCTGAGAGCGGTTGAACAGAGTTTAGGTGGAGTATATATGCGACATGTTAGTGTGGTGTAGTTGATATAGTGTAATTAATGTGGTGTAGTTTATGTGGTGTAGTTTATGTGGTGTAGTTGATATGGTGTAGTTGATATGGTGTAGTTATGTGGTGTAGTTAATGTGGTTTAGTTAATGTGGTGTAGTTGATATGGTGTAGTTAATGTGGTGCAGTTACTGTGGTTTAGTTACTGTGGTGTAGTTAATGTGGTGTAGTTAATGTGGTGTAGTTACTGTGGTGTAGTTAATGTGGTGTAGTTAATGTGGTGTAGTTGATATGGTGTAGTTAATGTGGAGTAGTTAATGTGGTTTGGTTAATGTGGTGTAGTTAATGTGGTGTAGTTAATGTGGTGTAGTTACCGTGGTGTAGTTACTGTGGTGTAGTTACTGTGGTGTAGTTACTGTGGTGTAGTTACTGTGGTGTAGTTCCTGTGGTACTTATGCATTGTGAGAGTGGTCTACTGTAGAGCATGCTTGTGGTTGGTACAGTTTTTGTATACCATGCAGCACGAGTCCTTTGCATGTGAGACCAGAGTGCAGACTGTGGCCGCTACTTGTTCTATTTTTGGTCTGCCAATCAGTTCGCGAGAGCTGGTTGACGTGAGTGTGCACCAACGCAGTGATCCGAGATTATAGAATATAGACTGTACATATGATTTGTTCTATTTTTAGACTGACCAATTATATCTCTCGATTTATACAGATGTACTGGACCGATTGCGAGAGCTGGTTGACGTGAGTGTGCACGTGCGTAGGGCCGACGAAGAAGTGGCCACAATAGCCCGCGCAAAAGTGAAGGAATACGAGGCAAAGAAACAGGCCTACACACGCGACTTACAACGAGAACGCCAACACGTGCACGATGTAGGTAGACGTGTGTGTGTCTCTTGCACGCGTAAGTATAGGTTATATGTTGAGTGTGTTTGTATTCGGAATATCACATCACAGATATGAATTTGTTTATGTATATTTGTATGCATATGCACGTGTATCTATCTGATGAATTTGAGTATTCGTGGGTGTAGATGTTTAAAGAGATATATACATGTATATATCTATCTATATATATGTATATATATA